TATATATATAAAATGTATATATATGTATATATATGTATATGTAGAGAGACAGAGAAACAGAGTAACAGAGTGAGCGAGCGAGGGAGCGAGACAGGGACAGAGAGAGTGTGTGTGAGGAATAGAGAGAGAAGTCAGATAGATGGACGATTTTTCGACCATGCTTGACGCGACTTTTTTTTTTCTTGGAGCTTGTGTCGGGTGTTGGGGGGGAGGGGGTAATTGTTTTGATTGCATTGGTCAGCTGCAACAGAAGTGGCCAAAGTGGTCAAGCCTTGTTTAAGTCTCCTTTTTTGGTGTTAAGAATTTTGTTCGGATTTAAATACACATTTTTGTTTGGCGGTTTATTCGTATTACTTATGTTTTAAGTCATATGAATTCTTGAATAGTTTTATTTTTTTCATGTTTTCGTTTTCTGTTCTTGGATTTCATGATTTCGCAATCTTCGCCTTTATTTGTATATCGTTTGTTTTTGGTATTTTCTCACTTTGAATGTCACAATTTCCTTCTGTTATTGCTGTTTATTGTTTATTCCCCTCATTCTGCTTCCTATATAAATGTCTTCCCTTCCTTACAAGTACCTAACTGAAGCTAAGAAAATTCCCTTCATGCAATCGTCATTTTTAAGCTTACCTTAACGAAGGGAAGGGGAGGACGGAGTTGTGCCCCGCGTGATCAGCTTATCCTGGGCACTCCTCCTCCCCACCCCTGGCCTCTCCTGGCCCCCTTCCTGGCCCCCCTCCTGGCCCACTTCCCCCTTCCTGGCCCCCTCCCCTCGCCCCTGCCCTGTCCTTCAGTACGCCCACGCCGCCCAGTGCCTCGTCTCGTGTCCTTCCTCGCTCTTAAAGCAAGGGCGCAGAGGGGCGAGACTCGCGTGAGGACAGGCCCATACCCGCTAATATTTCGTCCACGCGGGGTGCTAAAGGGATCCTTATGCCCGAGTGCCGTTGGGGTGAAGATCACTTGCTTACTAGGTGGTTGTCGGTAGATTTGCGAGTAGTAAGAAGGGAGAATGGGGGAGAGAGGGGGCAGCGAGCGCGTCTACACGCACGCATCCATGCACGAACAAATGACGAATGGGCGATGGCGGCGGCAAGGGAACCATGTTTTTGTTTCTCGTTTTTTTTTTTTTTTTTTTTTTTTTTTTTTTTTTTTGGTTGGAATCGATGGGTTGCGTAGTAAGAGGGCATTTCGCATTTTTCGGCAGGACCGGGAAGTTTGGAGGAAAAGGAAGAGTAAAGGAAAGGAGAGGGGGGGGGGTGAGGGGTGAGGGGTAGGGGGTAAGGGGAAAGATACAGGGAAAAGAGGAGGAGTAGGTGGGGAGAGAGGATGGATGGAGGGATGGGGGAAAACGAGAATGAAGAAACGCGGTAAGAGGTGAGGACAGAGAAGAGGAAAAGACAAGAATAAGGAGAAAAAGGGGGGAGAGTGTGTTAAAAATAATAGTGAAATTTGATGAGGGTGTGAAAAGAGAAGGGGCAGAGGAAGGAAGAGAGGGAGAGGGAGAGCCGGGGCTTCCTTGTTATGGTGTCCGCGAAGGTGTGGGCGAAATGGCATGGTTGGCAGGGTCATTCTCGGCGCTAATTAATTGGTAGGCCGTAATTGGCAATCCGCGTCCTCCTCGTGATGGCGCGGGCATCCACCCCGGCGATTTTTTTTCCTGGTCCTTTATTCGCACGTCATTCGTTGTTTGTTTTTGTCGCTGTATGGGGTTAGGTTATTCGTTTTCTGTCTGTCTGTCTCTCTCTCTCTCTCTCTCTCTCTCTCTCTCTCTCTCTCTCTCTCTCTCTCTCTCTCTCTCTCTCTCTCTCTCTCTCTCTCTCTCTGTCTTTCTCTGTCCTCCTCCTTCTCCATCTCTCCCTCTCTCCTTCCCTCCTTCTCTCCCTCCCTCCACCACTTCTCTCTCTCTCTCCCTCTCCCTCTCCCTCCTCCCTCCTCCCTCCGCCTCCGCCCTTCCTCGCCTCCGTCGCGTGTTATCGCCCAGTGCCTTTGGCCCTCTGCTCAGCCTCCTCCCAGCCCGCTATCCCGGAAGTGTCGAACGCCCATGCCCGGGGAGGATTTGCGTAACCTTTGTGTTATTAGTGCGGTGTGGATGCGAGGAGGGGGAGGGCGAGGAGGAGGAGGGGGAGGGAGGAATGGGAAGGAAGAGGGGAGGAGGAGGGGGAGGGAGGAATGGGAAGGAAGAGGGGAGGAGGAGGGAGAGGGAGGAATGGGAAGGAAGAGGGGGAAGAGAAGTGGGAGGAAAAGATAGGGGAGAGGGAGGGGGTGAAGAGGGGGAAGAGGAGGGAGGGGGTGAAGAGGGGGAAGAGGAGGGAGGAAATGGTAGGGGAGACGGAGGGGTGCAGAGGGAGGAATGGGGGAAGGGAAGGGAAGCGAGGAGGAAGGGAGGAGGAGTAGTAAGGAGAAGAAAGAATGAGAAGGAACACGAGAAAGGAGAAGGATAATAGGGGAGTATATGGAGAGTATGCGCGAAAGTCACAAAGTGAACAGAACGGGAGATGAG